AAATTTCTTCCATTTTGTTTTTTTTGCCAACCTATTACTTAATATGATTTCCGTTATGGAACTAAAGTCAGTCTACACGGCACTTACAAACACATAAACGAAATGTAACTTGTACACGCCCATGTGATGGAAAGGTTGACATACGTTCCTACATATAAAAGTGACAAACATAAGCCTGAATTTTCCTAATGCATGAATATTATGAAAAGACTTAATAGCATATAGGATAAATTATTTTAGAAAACAAGGGACAATTTTAATAATTGTGGGCGATTTTATGGATAGCTAAAGTTAATTTTCAAAGAGAACTTAATGACAAGTAAAGCGAAAAGCTTAAAAACAACTTAGCTTTTCGTGAAAGTTAATAGTTGTGCAGCATCAATCCAACACAAAAAGATCAATGAAGTAAATCTATCACATCTAAACACACTTTCATATATAGATATTGTTATTATATACATTATAAACCTCTATGTATATTAATTTATTGAACAATGTTTTAAAGAGAGAAACTATATGCATGTGTTACATTATTGAAAGTATGGAAAAGTCTTACCTTGCCAGCAAAATACGAGGCCTAATTACCTTTGCCCTCCTTACAATGCAAAGTGTCTTCGTTACAAACTATTAGGTAAGTCCATCGCATGTCGTGCTTGCTTTTCTTATATATATCTACACATATATATATGCAGATAAGAACTTTTGTGTTGAGTTTTTTCTTAAGATTCCCGCCAAAACTGTCATTTATCTTCATTATGGCAAATCACTATGGCAAAGCATGAAGTTGAACCCATTCCAGCTATATTTTATGCACGAGGATTGAAGCTAAAGTAAAAAAATCCGTCTGATGTTTCTGAACGAGGTCTTTCTCTGTCTCTCTGAAAATGACTTTCTTTATATCCATCTATTTATTATGTCAGAAGTTCGCAACGCCCAGAAGGAAGCTTCAGAGATCCTGCAAGGTATATATATTTCTGATCAGCCTCAAAGTCTAAGGACGTCGTCGTTCTATCCCTCTGTGTAATGGCTGTTGTAAACATAAGGCTCTCTCATACAGGTTAGTATTGAAAGTGGGCTAAATCGATTGCAGGACAGGTCTACAATATCACGAATAAAAATAAAAACTTGATTTTTTTCAGATGAGCCATAAACTACAGCAGATAAATCTCCAAAAATCTGAACGATGCTGTAGTACCTGTATAAGAATGAGAAAAATTTACCAAAATTTATCAAAATTTAATTTTTTTAATTTTTTCGATACCTTATAACGCCCGGAAACAATCTTCAAATAACTCCAAGTTTATTCTTGAGTATTGTCAGCTTCGGAATGCACCTGAACATGTTCGCCCGTTTGCCTATCTATCTATCTGTGAACATCTTTTCTCCTTTTTACTCGTAAAGTAAGACACATACGTATAAATTTCCGTTTTATTGCGAGAGTAGAAAATATCAGCCATGCCCTCAATATTATAGAATATGAAAATTTACTTCTTTTCCTCCTTTTTTGGGTCACAACCGAAGTTACTTATTGACAATGAAATTTTCATTGCAGTTAATGAGCGACGCTACATATGTTTCTAGATGCTTTATACGTACGGTATGGTGCCGTGAAAACTTAACAGCACGATCACCCAACGGCACACAGAATGAGGACATGTACACTCAGGCACGTACTGAGAACGATTAGTCGTCGGGTGCCAAATATATATCGGGAATATCCCTCCACTTGTGAGAGCGAGGCTCATTTAAAACCTCTGTCTTTGTTTGTTTGGGTCAAACACCCAGTTACAACGCAAGTTCACATCGAGCGAACAATCTACGATTTGGATCAATCATAGTCGCCGCGAAACTTCCGTAATGGGCTGTAAGACTCTGCGAAAACATGATTACTGAACGAATTAGATGATTGGGACTGAGACGAGATCCGATTTCAATAAAATCGTACAATATCCTATACGTCTGATGTATATATTTCCGCATACATATATATTGTATTAGATGTGCTGCGTTCATTTTTTCCGAAATTTTGGATATAAATAGCTTTGGTATTGGTCCTTGTACGATAGAAATTTTTGTTGTTTACAAGCTTTGGTTCAGTGCACATCAACGTGTAAAGAGGTGGATTTCATTTACGGCTTTGAGTTTTTAGTTTCTGTTTTAAACAGATATCAATTGGAAAAAACTGCACGTGAATCTACCGAAATTGTTAAGCTGGCTTGGCTAACTTGAGTCTTGAGTCTGAAAGCTTTGAAGCTTGTTCCTTTGTAGGAATTACAAAGGTATGATAAACTTAGTACACCTTTGCTTTTGCATGTAAAAATTTAAAAATTTAAAGGAAAAATCTAAGCTAATCAAACAAAGAAAACAAACTTAACATGCACTGGTAATAAAAATGCATGATTTTATATTTTTTAGCTTTTCATTTATTTTATTTATTTATTTATTTTTTTTTTTTTTTGTTTCTAATACATTTCAAGCGTCCCGCTTATAAATCTTAGAACTGACCAATCAGTTCTTTGTTACCATTTTCTTGTTATTAATAAAATTCGGCTTTTTGTTTAATGTATGTGTTTGCATGTATATGTGCATATATAGGAACCTTGTATTAAGAGAGGTTGGTGTCAAATTGTTAAATATCGATTTATTACTTTGGCAAATATCGTTTCATTTTGTTTATTCTAATTTATGGTCAAATTCTCTCGATTACAATAGAAATTTGTTGTAAAAAACTGTGATTTCATTTTTTTTTTTTTTGCTTTTCCTCTCTACCAAATGGTAATGGTCTTTGCCATGTGCTAAGCAATAAAATTTGTACATTTTTGTTAATGAAGCATTTATACTGAACAAACCACTGTAACTAAACGTAAACACTTAGCATTTGTGGGTGGCTTACTTACTTATCCCATAAATTTATTGATTTATTATAATTGAAAGTTAGTTAAGCACAAAATAGCAAAGAAAAAACGCATTTGGAAAAACTTTACGATGATAAATAATACGAAAGAAAATTTATTACTAATTAACGTTACGTTGTCAAATGTGCCGAAAAAGATGCGCTTGCTGAACATCAAGGTTCGACAATCGCCTATATATTTGTATGAATACTTGAACCAGGTCATTATTTGCTACCGATTTTAAGGATTAACCAGAAAAATGAAATGAAATTCCTTTCCTTTTTTCTATTCGCAGCTTGGCTTTGGCTTTTCAACGAACCACATTCAGTTCCAAAATTGACCTAAAAACTTTAGTTAAAAAAACTCTCAGAGTGAAGCCTATCTAGCAGAACCCTTTAGAAAAATGGCTCATATTTTAATTAGGTTGTCGATCAGTCAGTTTATACAAACTGGTGCAATGCAGATAGTACACCAGCCACTCTCCAGTGCTTATAATTATTAAAAATTGTTAAGGATAAGGAGGATTTATTCAAATTTATCTTTTTGCTTGACATTTCCACCTCATGGCCCTCAATCGTTTGTGATGGCGAGAGCAAGAACTTTAAATTTTTAATCGATAGCCATCGGCAAACTTTACAAGTGATTATAGTTCGCTCACATTCACGTACACACTAACCTATAACTTCTAAAGTATATCATCTGTTCATACGGAATTCGCTGGAAAAGGATCATCGTCCGTCTATAAACCCATTCATAATACGCAACATATTGTTATTATGTTATTAATCTATAGCTAAATATTTTTTGCATCATTCAGTCCAAAAATTGTCGAGCACACATTTAATTGTTGGCTTAAGATAATCCTTTACTTTTATTGTACCCCAAATCACTTGTGCAATAAGGATATGCTAAGTTTGCGCAACCATGTACAATGCCCAGAGCATTGAGATGGACCCACATTTTATTATACCGATTGATCAAGAGTTACTATCTAATTCACTTTCTGAATCAATCTAAGCTTGCCTGTCTATCGGTTCGTCTGATGTGTGTGTCCATTTCGTCTTCTATTTAACGAAACTTAATTTTCGAGAGAGTTTAAAGAAAGTCGGCACATCAATTTGTTTTAGCCTAAGGAGGCATACTGTTGAAGATGTCTCACTTCCCATATAACGCCTTATTTTGGGAAGTCATTACATTATTTACAACTTTTATTAAACCGATCTAATCTTGCCAGTCCGTCTGTTCGTCTGCTGTTCCTGCAGATCGCAATTTTTCATATATTTTCAACCTCTGCCCTCGTAATGCCTCGTTTTGAACAGTCCTTAGGTAGAACAACTGTGTTAAGTGAAGTAGTGTAGGGTATTTAATGGAGCGCCTTAGCCTACTGTAAACTTTTCGCTTGTTTTCCATATCGCTTGGTACGGCTACGTACAGAGTGAAGCGAAAATAAATGAAATTTTTTTCATTTTTACGTCCAATTCCAAAAGACGTTGCTGCCTAGTGCTCGAAGTAGGCGTTGCAGACCGTAAAAAACATAAACGCTCAAAGCCAATAAAAGGTAATGAGATGATTTATCCATACCTGCCTGCCAACCTTGTGGTTTTTAATAACTTATTCTGAGAAAAATCCGAAAAGACAAGTGAAATTTTATATATAAACCTTTAGGCCATAAACACAAATAATGTTTGATTCTTACGTGGTACACGACAAACATTAAAAATTGCAATTCATAGAAGGTACTAATCCGAAACGTGGTGCAAACATTTATGAGTATCTTCCAAAGTGTGCAAACGGTTGTGTTAAACCAATCGAAGTGCTTGCTTTCCATGAAACGTTGTTCATTTCATATGTAGTGGTTCGAAATTATCATCGATGCATCGAAAATCGTGAAGGGACAAAGATTCTCACTCTCTCTCTCTCTCTCAAGGCAATAGAATATTATTACTTGTTTAATAAAAATCGCTTTCCCATATTTTATTTTTCCAGCTTAGCTTTTTCTGTCTTTAAGACTAGAAGCTTTTTCAATTTTATTGCCTATTTTCCACAACAGTCTATCTTTTGTAATTATTATAATTATTTATCCGTAAACATTGTTATCATTTCATTATGTTGCCCGTAAGAGCACCCATATTGGGCGCCGGACATCGTAATTTTAATAAAAAAGATTACCTTGCAAACCTATCCATGCCCAGCTATAGAGAATGTCGACGGCTTACTTCTCCTATTTATGTTGCTCTAATGCAAGAATTACTCGAAGATGGCTGCTTCACTACAGCCAAACATTTTAATGCTCTAGTAATAAAGGAACAGCAACTTTTTCATGGCGCTCTGATTTCACGTCGCGCCTTCACTAAACCTGAATTTCTTCTTGGTTTATATGATAATTGCAAGATGGCCGAAAAGTCGGGTAAACAAAAAAATGGTCAACTTTTATGCTCACGTTTGCTCTTGCAATGCATACTCATATGCGAGAGGTTCCGTAAAGAATTTTATTGGGTATTGTGTGAAATTTCCAGAATTATGGCGGGAATATGCGAACATTTGATGGCGTACCCAAATGGATCCGAGGAGACTCTGTGTCAAATATTCCAAAGATGCGCACAAATAGCTGCCAAAGGTTAGTAAAGAAGTCTTTTTTACTTAAGTTTCATTAGCAGTGGGTAATAATTCCTTTTTCCTTAGATACATCGGAAGCTATGAAATATTTGAAGCTGGCTTTTAAATTAGCTGAGGGCGCGAGTTGGACAACTCTCGTGGGTACACGCGGTAAAGATCAGGTCCTGAAATTGACATCTGCCGTAATTGCAGAGTCTTTGATTGAAATTACTCTGAAACTTGCGCGTAACCTGGTACACGAGCAGCCCGATCAAGCAGCAGAATTAGCAGAAGCAGCTTTGGTTATCTTATCTAATGGAAATTGGAATGAAAATAGATTACTTTTCATAAATGTCTATCTTGAATTCGCCTCCTTTCTTATCAAGGGCGGCAAATATAGACAGGCTACTTCCACGATTAACCATATAAGTAAAAGCATGCGATCTTGCAGCCCGAATGACAAAAACTATGTAGAAGTCTTGAGCAGATATACTTGTTTGAAAGGACAATGTTATAGTCGGTAAATTTGTGTTATTCTATTAAATAACTCTCATATTTGGCCAATTATATATGATCTTTGCTAGAACTGATCAAAAGTATTTAGCGTTAATGTCGCACTACGAGTCGCTTAGACTAAGTACAGAAAATGATATGAAAAACTTACAAATTGAAGCTTTATTAGACGCTGCCGATGTCTATATTGCTCTTGGAGTATCGCAGTCCCGCATGGCTGAGAAGTGCCTGCAACAAGTAAAATTTCTATCGAAACAAGTAGGAGATGCCTCTAGTTTGAAGAAAGCTATTTATCTATTTGCGAAGGTGAAAATTCTCCAAGTATATCCACTTTTATTGGATGTTATAAGAAACTCTCGCAATTTATCTTGCGATTTGATTCGCTTGCGCGGCTGGAAGGATTCTTGTGCACCTTTTTGGATAAATTTAAATTTCTCTTACGAAAAAGAACAACTGGATGATCCACTTGATTGCTTAAGGAAATCAAAAACATAAAACTTCCACTAATCGCTAGGAATGCAAGACTTTCAGCTTAAAATTGGAACGATTTGTTTTCCAATCTTTAATTTATTTTTTATATATATAATATATATATTATATTTGTGTTTCTCTCTTCATTATTGAAAAAATATATTTCTATATTGTTACTGCAAATTGTTGATAAATATATGATAATAATATTGATTTGATGGCGATATGGAACGGGACATAGATAATATTTGAAAACATAAAAAGAAATGAAGAAAAATGGGCCGGAGGGTTTGTGCACAGGAAACATGCTGATTAATTCTGGACCCAGCTTTATTTATCTCTGACATCCGAGAAAATGTCGAGATATTTTTTCTGACAGAGTATAAATTGGTGACAGTCTTTGCTTCAGTGCTTTATTTTCGACGCAAATAGCAACAAAGTACTTCAGTCAATTGCCATTGGCGCCACAATCCGAACTCAAAGCTTTGACAAACAGAATTAAAATCCAAATCTTGGGCCGGTTTTCCGGAAACCATTTTAAAGCCAATCTTAAGAAAATATCGTTTTTTCAACTTTTTTTGGCAAGTCCTCGAAATCTACCAAACAATGCATCTTCAGTAAAAAAAAATCAACATCAAGAGCTGCACCAGAAATAGTGAGCGCGAGGCTAGTCAAAATGTGCCGATAAATGATTTGCCGGAATGCAAATGAGGAAATTACCACTACCTGATCGAAGGATGACACCTCCAAGGTTTTTACTGCAAGCTTTAAAACAGAAATCGTAAGCAAATTTTCGATTGTGAACTTGCTGAATAGAAGAAGAAGAAGAAGAAAATGAAGTCGAAAGGTGATGAACGTCATTTTCTCAAAGATAATAAGAACACTTCTTTATTTGCCTTAGCTGGTCACGCATCATTTCATTCATTGCCACAGCATTTGCTGAATATAATCACTTATGCAAGGAACACCAAAATATTCGTTTGTCGTAATAAAAATGATTTAAAGAATAGAGAATGAGAAATTATCAATGCCGATATCGAAGACTTCTGTAAACAATATCGTAGCCTTACAAGTGCCATCGTATAAAACGGGCCAAGGCACAAATGGTATTGTCAAGGAAATCCCAAATCTACTTCATTCCAACTAATTTATTTTCTCAAATAATAAATTCCCTAGAGAGGGAAAACCCAAGTGCAAAATCGAGGCGCGTCATGCAACTGCCAACCGAGGAAAACGATTAGCGGAAGAGCAGGCTGAGGGATTAAAAATGAAACCATGAACTTAGGAAATACTAATATGCTTGTAAAAATGTAGGACAGGGTCAGTCGGACAAGAAGATTAAAACTGCGGAACGGAGAGTATTGCCAAAGTAAAATGTAAATAGTCTTACCCTTAAAAAAATTGATTGTAAATAAAAAAAAAAAGAGTCTTGTAGTGAAGCAAGGGCATTTCTCTTTTAAAAAAGGATATACATGATCTAGTGACACGAACCTTATCGAGAAAAGGAAAATTCATAAAAATTTAATATATTTAAATATCTTATAGGGCATCAAGAGAGACATGCAGCTGGCGACTAAACATCTACGCTTTAATCTTCACAATTCAACTCTATGATAAAGCGTTTGTTGACCGACTTATCAGATTCATTTGAATCGGCTTTCATCTACCGCACCGATTACTAAATGTAACTACTAACGATAACTACTCTTGCATGCTACACTTGATTGTTTTATGAGCATTATGAACTCGTAATCGGACTTCATTGGAATTTTAAATAGCTGCCGCAAGCGTACGTCCCGGTTTTCACAACAATTACTTGAGAGAACGCTCTCTTTAATTTCTATAACGGCACATAACACATTTCAGCTCTACATCTCTATTCTTTCGGCCACATATGAGAGCAACTAACGCAGGGCAGATTGTGAAAATGATTAAGAAATTGATGATACCATCGCCTTTCCAGGAATATGATAGGAATATGAAATGAAAGTGTTCTGCTTTATATAAAAAATTAATTTTTTTATACTCAATTTTAAAATAATGTAACTCTGAACAATGGATAGAAATCGTTTTACTTTTTGCTCCATGCCCCTGTTCCTTTAATAGTTTGTCATTATACTGAAAAGCAAAGCTTACTAACACATTTGTTTTCAACATTAAAGTATATTTTATTTGCTTAGTCCATGCTTACGTTACATCCCAAAAAATGTCTAACGAAATTATAATTGAGGCGGTGTTGAAATCAAAGTACGATTGTTACTTTCCGCAACCTTTTTGAAAGCTTGTTGGGCGAATGGCTTGCTGGAGATATTCGTTACTGATGGAGTAGATCGGTCGTGAAGGTACATCTTCTTATCAAGCAGATGATAGTCATTACATATCCCATTGTTTTGTTACAAAAGCAACGCAAAAAGGCGCATTTTCTATATAATAATGACTTCAGATTATGCTATGGTGCTAAGCCTTTTACGGAAGCCTGGCCCTGTGTTATTAGAAATTACGCTCCTACCCGAAATTTTTATATCCCTCCCAAGAGGAAGAATTGCGAGAAGTTTTCGATATGATAGATCGCGAGGTAAGTGGCTGTGATTCGTTGTAAGCTATTGTTTTAGCTAACGGCGCTGGTTTGTCTATGCTGGAGAGACAGATGGTTTTTGCGTTTTGCCAAAAGCTTAGTGTCAGCGTATACTGGATTTCCCAAGCAAGATGAAATAAGTGATGCGGTGATCGAATTGTCAAGTAATTTTCCAATTGCGCCGATTGTAACAAGGTGTTGGTGGAAACGTCTTCAAATCAACAACACCAACTCATCGTTCAATCGCATCTTTTTTTTAAACTCAATACTGGCTTTGACTGCAACGTCAGTCAACGCTACTATTATTAACATATATATATAATATTATTCAGGTGGCGGAAATCGTAAGGTGTATGCTGTAAGATTTCACATAATTTTTGTATGAAGACTAAGCGAAACTGGTGATTGGGATGTTGGGGCCCAATTAGGGTGTTGCATTTACAGAACGTGAGATGACATCTAATAAGATTTCCTTGTTAACAAAAATTTCGCCTTCAAAAAGGCTGTCACCATTGTTTTCGGAAGGATTCATTTGCTCACCTCGTTGAACCATAATTTGGCTCTGCGGTAAATGGGTATCATTGGAGATGGTGCGCAGTTGATATTCCAAATCGTTGCCACACTTTTCTAAAGTTTTTAAATTTCTAGCACTTTTGTTAATATCAAATCGACTGCTTATTACTTCGGAAATTTTGTCCCAACGTTTACGGGCAATGGTACGCTTGTCATCATCTTCACTTTGTATTTCTGATGAAAGACCAGAATAAAAGAGCTCCCCACGTTTTGTTGTCATTTCGCTACCACGAAAGTATTCGCCGGGCTTACATCCAAAGTTAAATTGTTGCGACATGTTACCATCTGTCAAGTTCGGATTAGAAGCGGTCCGCACATCATCCATTGCGGCAGCGTCTTTTTTCCGGCGTCTTGACGTTTTGGGAATAGTATTAGGCGAAACATTGTTTACATAGTTAATGCAATGTTTCATTTTCTCATTTTTGTTTCTGTTTATTACATCCAGCGTTCCTGCGGGACCGGTACGCGCGGAAGGCTTGCGGAAGAAACGACGAGTCTCTTTAAGGGTCTGACGTAAGCCAACCTTAACCTCTCCGCTCAAATTATTTGTAAGCATACGTTGCATATTCCAATTCGATACTTCATTGCCGTATTTAAGACGCCGATTAACGCGTGTCATACTTGTCTGTTCGTCTTTATCCGTTTTCGCCTTTCTCGGTGACGTGGCTATTCTTGTTCGGATGGCACGGCTCAAACCACCCTCATTACGTTTCTGAATCATTGTTTTAGATTGATCGGCTGAGCTCCTATGTTGATAGCTTCTTCTACGATTTTTCTCAGTTTTCGATGAATCGTCATGATAAAATGGCATCTGATTTTTGAGCGGTTCCTCTTTAATCGTATTGCGTCTTTTCAAATTGGTTTCCTTAATCTCTTCAATCTCCTTAAACAAACGTTTTAATCGAACGTGACACATTTTAGTATCAATTGTGCGTCCGTTGAACTCTTTAATACGATCATGCTCCTCCTTTAGCTTCTGCAGCTGCCCGTTCTTCTTGCCCGTCAAAGACGTACGCCAGAAAAATGGGGTAGACTTCAGATGATACGACATAATTGGCTCTCAAACTTTCTCTTCTCACTTGCCCAGAGCGTTAGATAAATCGCGATTTTGTTTAAACAAAAAATTGTTTTTTTTTTCTAGGTTTTTATTTAAATTTTTCCTATTGACACGTTAAATAATTTTGCGCTTATATCGTAAAAAATGTATGAAAGATCGAAATAAATAAAAAAAAAGCTAGGCCTTTTAACAAAATGTTCAACTAAAATTTTCACATTAGAACTTTTTTTATGTATATTTTGCTGTTCACAATTTAAAAAATTCCGTGAAATAAAAATTTAAACTTTCCAAATTTTCTGTGTAACAAAATTTGATAAAATAATTTTTTTTTTTTTTTTTTTTTTGAATTCCAAGTGTTAATATTGAAGTTTACTTTTCAAATCAAATATTCAGCCGAATGTCTTACGATCCTGGAAACCACTTCACTTAGCGATAACTCAACTTCAAAAGAAATTCCTTATAATGTCCGAGAGTAGACATGTTTTATACGCTTTACAATCGTTTCTCTCAGTTAAAACCCACTCTTATGTATTAAAAATCAGACCTTTACTATATAGTCTCAAATCTGCGGCATTTTGTCTTCATTTTCTCTGGGTGCCTGGTCATATGGGTATTCAGGGCAATACCACTGCAGATAATATTGCCTCTTCCAGACCATTATATTCTAATGATCGTGCTTTGATTTCCTTTTATTGCAAGGCAAACGACAAGCGATACCCAATTTTTACTTGGCGAAATAATTCACTGTATGGTCGTCACTGATACTCTTTATTCTCGCAAATGAATATAGCAAGTCAGCTTATCAACAGCGGTCTTGGACGACACATTATTTGCTTTATTAACAGGCGGTTGTTTGACCACACGGGATTGAACGATCATCTGTTGACCAACAGAACATAATGAGTAGACGTTTATATATATGTGGCGATTTGCAATCTTCTGATCATATTCCATTTGTCTGTCCGAAGGCTGCCACTTCTGTTCGCCATTCCAAACTTTGCAATTTGCCTACGTGTGATCTTCATGATCACAGCGGTTTTGACATTTTGCGTTCACACAATTTAGTGGCCTAGACCGCCATTCTTTGTTTTCATAAAGCTTGCCGACAATACATACAAATATTCACAGCCAAGTTACGAACCTACTCTTTCTCATACTCTTTTTACTCTCGCAAATTTGAGCCCTTTCATAAGACACTCGTAAACACATTTACTCCGTCGCTTCTCACACTACAAAATTCACTTTACGATGTTCTATTAAGCAACCTTTGAGGAAAAAAACAAAAATTCATGAACATCTCGCTTTCAAAAGTCGAGATATATAAGAAAAATCTTAATTTGTAACTTGAAAAGGATAATATTGATCATGGTCAAGTGACGAACGTTATAGCGCGCATAACTTCCATGCATACAAGTGCATATGTTCATAATCAAATCATCTATCCATTTTTATTAGGGCCCAAAAAAAGACCTTCAACTTGGCAAATCATACGTTTGTTGATTTGCTGATTTGCTGACTCGCAGAAGGAAAAAAAAGTTGACTCAGTTTATATCTTGGCATCCACATAGCGTGGTAGCATTGTGCTTAAGTTCATAAAGTTTCCGTTCTCATGATGGCCGATCATATTAGCCTTACTTTACTTTTCAGCCAATTTCATGAATTAAGGGAATTAATTTTGTCGCGAGAATATGTTTAATAAGCTTTCTGATTTGAATATTTTGCGGGTACGTGTTGCCAGATTAGCGTCAAGACGTGTTGAATCTTCGTTTCCCGCTAATTTTTCCAAATCAGTTTTTTTGTCTCCGGTTTCGCTAGAGAGTGGAAAGGAAGAGAAAGAACTGTTTGCACTGGATAGATTTGAAAAAAACAACGCATTTGCGATATAAATACATTCTCCAGTGACCACATATCAGTCCCATATTCTCTGTTTATCGAATATAACCGGACAAAAGAAATGGAAACAGGGGTTGCAAAATTTTTATATTTTTTACCAAAATATGCCCTTATCAAGCCCGAATGATCGAAAGAAAAGTGATAAGTACAAAAACATTTTAAATTCAATTCAGGCGCTTTTTTATAAATACTTCAGTAATGAAAATTTTTAAGATTGCTCTAATATTTAAAATTTTCGTCCATACAAGTGCCACAAATTTTCTAAAGAAACTAAACGATTTGTTCCATGTAAGAATTTACAAAGATGTTATAAAGTAAAACCTTGCAACTTTTCACATAATTTGTTATTGAAACAATACGGAATGGAACATTTGTATAATTTTATTATTAATTGAAAACTTCTCTGCCCCACGTCATTTGATGTTTTGGGTGGTGTTTGGTGCAATTTTCCGTTCTATTTTTTGTCAGAAAAAGTCAAGTGAATCATATATTTTCTTTATAAATAAGTAAATATTTAAGAAACAATGGCTGCTACCCTTAAATTATATTTAACTGCCGTACGTCACTCGCTAACAGCGGCAATGTGCTTGCAAGACTTCCCTTCCCAAGTAGTAGAGCGTCACAACAAACCAGAAGTAGAGGTCTGCTCCAGCAAAGAACTGATTTTAACCCCAATAGTGATATCTCGTAATGAACGTGAGCGGGTCCTCATTGAACCGTCAATCAATTCGGTACGTGTTAGTATCGCCGTTAAGCAAGCGGATGAAATTGAGAAAATATTATGCCATAAATTCACCCGGTTTATGATGCGTCGAGCAGAATCTTTTATCATTCTAAGGCGAAAACCCATTGATAGTTATGATATAAGCTTTTTGATAACAAATTTCCATACAGAACAGATGTATAAACACAAATTGGTGGATTTTGTTATTAGTTTCATGGAAGAGATCGATAAAGAAATTAGCGAAATGAAATTGGCAGTGAATGCTCGCGCACGTACTTGTGCAGAAGAATTCTTAAAAAGATTTTAAAAAATTCCATTGAATGTATTTCCAAAATAATTATAAGCAAAGAAATAATTTTTGTATTACTTTAGTATTTAATAAATGCCGCATGTTATATTAACAAATCTAAAGGTGTAGTGTAAAGAAGAGAATTTACGATTACTTTGATGGTGGCACATTTCCCACCCAAAGCAATACAACGGAATTTTCGTAATCTACAAATTTTTCTGTTTCCTTAACTTGCTTCTTATGCTTAGTCTCTTTATCATCCTGGGTTACGTCTACAAAGTGGTACTGACCCGAGCTAGTGGCCAATATGGGGAGCGACGGATGAAAGTTGGCACCATTACAGCAATCGGCGTGTATAGGTAACTATAAAGTAAATTGCTGTAGTTAAAATTCAACGGAGACAAAATCAACACACCTGTGCCGTTTTTGCGGAATCTTCCAAATTCCATATCTTTAGTGAGCCAGTTGTGTCACCACTTACTAGCCATTCACGTTTCAAGTCGAAATATATGCGTTGGTTTGTATTAACATTACGTTCAAAAATGCTCACAGGTTGCGTATAGTTACGCATATCCCATTGCAGTATATTATTATCTTTGCGAGCACCGCTAAATAAATACCAATTGCTATCGTTTATTGGAAAATAACGCAACCATGTAATACCGCCTGTATGACCACCCAAAGTAAATAGAGGACCTAGCTTTGGTGCTCGCAAATCATAGTGATATATATGAGCATTCCAAGACCCAGTGGATACACAGTGATTATTTTCAGCCGTTACAGCGAAACAAGACACTGTTTGCTTTACTGTGATGTTACTGCATTTACGTCCAGGACTGCAATGGATATTGCATATTAATTTTATAAAAGAGAATATCGAGTATTTTAACGCCTACATGTTAGTATCAAAAATTTTAATGGATTTTTTATAACCGCCCATAACTTTCTGGCCATCATTACTGAAAAGAAGAGAAATGGCGGGCTCGACTTCGTCAACTTCGTCATATCCTCGATATGTACACCGCAATTCGCCGGTGAACGCATCCCACATATGAATCGGCTCGTGTTGACGACTCGCTAGCCAGCTGTTTTGTATAAATAAAAGGCAATTATTTAAACAACTTAATAGTTTCCCAATTTACCAGCAAGTGGCAGGATCGGAGCTATCCATAAATGGATACCATACACAGTCGTATACCGTTCCACCTTCTTTAATATGAATTGCCGAAGGTAAAGAACTTAAAGATCTCTTCGAATCTAGTTGCTTAGTATTATATAAATCTTGTGGCAATTCTAAAATGTGCATGCCTTCAAAAAAAGAAAGAACAATTACAATAATGTTTTACAATATGTTTAATCCAATCATTACCATCTAAATTCACTGGGAGCAAAAGACAAGTACCATCAGGTGACCAGAGGCAACCTTTAGTATAATGTTGTTCTTGAGCTGTGGAAGCCCACAATCGTCTTCCTAACTCTAACAAAGGCTGTTGGAATAAGGCAGATTTTTCTTGAAACAGGAGATCATTGTCTTGCATATCAATGTCTTCGCAGACATTGGCCGTAATTTCAGAAGCATTGCAAAATTCTTTCGCTTGCATACTGCTATTTTCATTTACCGTGATAGAAGTGGCTTCCTCGTCGGACACTTCATCCTCATTTTGCATTCCGACATCTCTAATCTTAACTGGAGGAATTTCAGCAGTCTTGTGTTCTATACCCTTTTCCTTTTTTTCTATATTACTAGAAATACTAATCGACTTGTGAGTACTTTCATCTATTGGATGTGTACTAACATTACAACATACATTTTGAGCAAAGCGGAAATCATTCTCAATGTTTTCTCCATTTTGTACTTTGCACTTATCTATACGTTTTTTATTGTTTTGTTTAAGGGTAATGCTCGAGTTTTCACCGTTCATTTGCGTTAATGACTTTGAATAGGAAAGCGTTTCCTCATCGCCAATGTCTATTTGCAAAGTGCTTTTCTCTTCATCGTCGTCATCTTCTACAGCTATTATACTTTCTTCTTCGCATGCACTTTCTTGCATTGGTACTGAACTTTGAGCAATGCTCTCCGATGTTTCCCCGTTCAAAGATGTATTTAAACTAAAACCCGAATTGTTCGCTATAGAGCTATAGCTTTCTGTGGTTTTATTTACCGGGTGCTCGATCTCACTCAGATTTAGTTTGCTTAAAGACACATTATTGTTAAGTATTGAATCTTCCGATTCCGTAGCTTCAGGAACGGCTACAATGAAAGAAGAAACATTTCCTTAGCTTTTTATCAGATCTCTTGAACACGTTTATACCGTTTGATTCCACTGAATCGTTTAAGCTCATTTTTAACTAATTTTTTAGTTTTTTGTTTAGTTTTAACCTTCAAGAAACCAGTTAAATTTACTGCCGCAATGCTTCTTCTTTCACGAATAAATGGTTGGTAAATGATAACACGTCCAAAAAGAAGAGTTGCCAAGCTATTGATAAGAAATAAACGCCTATTTGATAAAACCGCTGGTATAGGTAATTCAACTACAAATCCGTTATTCAACATCGGAAGGTATCAAAAAATAATTGGTTGATAATAACCCTAAATGTAATATTAAAGGGAAATTATTAATTTCAAACAGTCTAGATTATTTTTTAATTAAAAAATCTGAAAACAAGAAAAATTATTAATATGTACAAAACACTTAATCGAGGTCTTATATATTGTATCTTATTAAAATTTTCATTAATTTTCCTACTTCTCGTATATCTAGTATTTAGAAAAATTGTAAATTTGCTTCAGCATAGTGGGGTTTTTTTCACCCACTATGTAGAATTCTATGTACAAATTTCTACTTAATGGATAAAAGCAATCATGCCGATCGTGACCAAGAACTTATACATGTTGACCGAAAGTAAAGCCAACCTAAAAAAATCAATTCTGTGTGAATTCCACAATGTTTCTGTCGAATTCTTTATTCGAATTCTATGCAGAGCTTACTTTTATTATATATCAAAAAACTGACACCATCGATAATTGGAAAGAAGGAAAGGTAACAGAATGATATTATTGAATGGAGATATTTTGGCGAGGCAGCCTTAAATAAATAATTTGCTATTTTTGAGAAATTTTTGAAAATGCCAAGACCGGAGCTATTCCGGCGAGATTCCGAGATTTTAGAAGTTATACGGCCAACACATGGCCCGAATTTGAATCTAAAAAGAAATTTACTTAATTGTTATGTTTATAGATAATGAATTGTGTAGGAATCTTGAAAAGTATTGAATTTTATTTGAATGCAGAGTTTGAATGCAAACGTCCAATGTTTGTTAAGTTTCGAACAAAATATCTTTTATTAACAAGCAAGTTGTATTATAAAAAGGAGGTTGGACAATTTTCTTGCGACTATTACTCCGTAATGCGAAGTCATAATGGCATATGGGAAGAAAACCCATTCTTTTCCATTTTGACTAGCAGCCGGTTATAATGTCAAAATGTGGCTGATAGGTTTGTTGTTTTCGAAATCTTCATTGCCAACGTTTTTTATCAGAAGCAGAAGTTCTTTCAAATAATTCCCATCGCTTTACCAATACAAGGGCCGTCTTGGTGAAATTAATCAAACACATTTTGGTCCTGAAAAAAATTCATCACAAGAAAAAGTTCTTCGTGACATTGTGGAGAATTCCTGCGTCCGCTAATCGAACAAAGGAAACTGACTTCCGCACAATTTACAGCTGAGAAAGACAAAAGTATTAATATGATCAAGACATCTATCAATATTAACAAAAACCACGCCTTCAACGTAAAAATAAGAATTTATAATTGTGATAAGTATATTCTCAGTGTATTTAAATTCGTTAATTATTTTTTGACATCTTCTTGATTATCAAAGGAGGTGATAGCTTCATTATACAGTTTCTTGGTTTAATTACAAACTCGCTTTCATACGCCAAAGTTATGCCAAGAGCAGTCTTTCCCGGTTCCCCAATTCCGGTAAATTGAGGGATTTCGTCGTACTCACTATTCCTTGTTGGTTTATTTGGACATTTTCTTGGCTCAATAACGAATTCACCGGTAAACGGCACTTGTTTCAGAGATCTTATAACCCGGCTTAATATATCAGAACCTGTATCGTAGCGACCTGCTTCTTGTGGTCGTATAATATGCTAAAATGAAATATGTAGCGTAACTAACCATAAAATTTAAAAGAAAATCAGTTACCTTGTCTTCGCTAAAAGTTTACGGGAAAGATGAATTCGTCATGCTTGTCTCATATTCTTTATACTTTTGACGTAATTCAAATAATTTTTGAGTTCGAAGTTGTACGACGTTGGAAGGAGAAGACATAACAGTCAAATCTTAAGATTTTCGCAGTATAAATTTATTAAAAAAATTGTGAAAATATTATAAAAGCATTTACCGGCTGCTTGGATGCTGTTTTTTTAAGCGTACAACACAGTCAACTTAAAATCAAAACCTACTAGGATTTTCATAAAACAAAACGCATACTAACCTAAATACAAAGAAATTTAGGTAAGCAGCTGTAGCGCTTTTACATTTTAGCTTTCGAATGTGGAATGATTCATTGGACGACTTAAAAAGAAACAACTAAGAAAATTATATACGGCCGTGATCTTAAAAAAAAAGGAAAACAAGTAAATTTTCGTACACTACAATAATGAGTGGGCGCTTCTGATTTTTTATATTTTTAGAATAAAAGTAAAAATATATATAATTTATGTAGTGTAGTTTATGAGTAAGAAACAATAAACACGCCAAAGAAAGGCTTCGCAGGCGTGTTTGTTTAAAAAGTTTGGATAATTTTGAAATACTTTTGCAAATTCCTAAGCGATATTTTCATTTGTGCAAATTGCGAGGTTTACCACAAATACTACATGGTTATGCAGACGGACGGATGGTCAGACAAACGGATGGACATGCTTAAGTGCGTTTCGAACTTTTGAACCTTGCTTCTGTGCATCATATAAGTGTTGAAAAAAAAAAAAACGAAATTACGACATACTAAAAAATTAAGTAGGCTTGGTCGTCGGCTCTCTGTAAATTAGTATAAATTTCGTATTTATTTGTATTTTGTAAAATTTCTCTTTGGTTTCTTGATTCCTTTCATTGGACCTATCAGTACGTATCATTTGCTCGCCGAAGCAGCAGTCAGCATTAAATTCCAAATCGAGTTAAGCACGTCCATTTGTTTGCCTGCGTAATGTCCGTGGTTAACATTGCACTGGTGCTAAAAATGAAGCTATCGACTTTAAATCAAAGGTAATTTCAGTACATAACCGCCAACTTAAACAAACATCCATTTGCAGACATAACCGATAAGCGATGAGCAATGCGGTGAAGAGGAGCAGAGTAAGCTAAATAAAATTTTATTAGTCCTTGTTTCCATTTTTTTTTTATTTATATTATTATTTTGATGTTTGGATGAATCATAAATACAGAGTGGAAAGAAAATGGAGTAACAATAGCTGGTCCTGTAATAAAATATGAAGTGACATTGACAGCCAGAGAAAGAAATCTAGAAAGAAATGTTTATATTTATGTAAGTAAAAATAGTTCCCACAAACACCCACATTACTTACATTATTAATTAATGATTAATTCATTCGCTTTTGTGTGAAGTGACATTAGGAGGTCGGAAGCAATCTTCAAAGTCTTTCTCCCCCGTCCCGCGGCAATGTTTCCCCTTGTGCGGTTCTGCCTGTTCTTCTCTTCAGTGAACGAACATAAAAGTAAGTTACGATGCATTGTGATGGAAATGTGCACCTTGATTAGCATTCCTCAAGTTACCTAGGCATTAAAAAAAAGATTTAATTACTTTTACCAATTTTTTTTTTGTGTCTTTTCTTCACAATTCACTAATCTTACGTTTATATTTTTCCTTTTACAACTGCTTTTCTACAAATGCAACTCTGAAGCAGAGTTTGGTGGCAAGTTTTATTCGTTTATTTTCAATACTAATGCAAATTTGCTCTCGGCGACAGCAAATTGTCTGCTGCCAGATTTGACGTAACTCAGAAAGTGCATTTGGCGACAATCAGCAGCAAATTTGTTTACATGATTAGATATTATTGGTGACTATCGCCTACTTACATGATTGCGCCTTACAACTTCTTCAGAGAAAGCTACTATAGGTTTAGGAAGTCATAACTTATACCTGTAAGGAAAACTTAAATGCTTCCTCTTTGGTCTAGCTCCTTGTACGATCGAAATCTGGGTCCCACTTTTTTATCACTAAAAAAAATACCAATCACCGGGAAGACACCCCAACGGTTGAAAGTCCCCCATCTGAAATATTTTTTGATGACAGAAAGACCGCTGAAAGTAGTTCTCATTATTTGCAGTCTAATGTATAAATGCTCAATTGAAAATGTATTCCGTTATATAAGCAAATTTTTTTACTGTCTTCAAGCAAATTTTAATAATCGAATGCTGTACGCTTGCAGTTTGGAAAATGTAATTGCGGTAGTTATTCGCATGTGTAGGATACATAACCTCCTGATCTTAAGATTACTCATTGCTTTTGCACCTATTCTGACTTTAGCTAGTTTAAAAAACAAATGGAAAATTCAATGTGAGTATGGATCGACTACCTGCACTTTTCTATTTTTGCTTGTAATTTTAAAGCTTATGAGCCTTTGTACTTTCTTATCTTTAAACGTCGTGTTGTTTAACAAAGACACAACCAACAAAGTCCCATTGATTTCATCATTTCGACTAAAAAATCAAGACTATGCATCTCTAATATATATCGGCATTACTAGTTACAACTACTTGTATATTCTGCATTTCTTTAGCACATGGTTATGTAACATACTTAACACTGTGTTTCAACATGCCTTAGACTCGTCTGTAGGCGGAAATTCCTTAGTGAACGGGCGTTTTAATGTTTCGCGGTCTTCCTCGTCTTTTCGTCTTCTGCGTATCCTCCGTAGCCTTCTAATACCAGAGCATGAGAATGCAATTCGTGGATAATCTTGCCACTTACTATGGCGGGAATATAGTATTGAGGCGATATAGAGTATGCACAATACGTTTATTCGCCTTAAAAGTCTTTAATGTCAAGAGCAGATTAGCTGCGACTTGTCCTATTTCGTACTAGTTCGTATGCCAACGCTTGCTCCGCATGGTTTCATTACGTAACAGATCGCTCGCGCAAGACTTAAATCCTTGACGAAGCGATTTTAAAAATTTTTCATAAATATAAACAATTCTGTCTCCCAATGTATTTATATGTATTTGGTCGGTTAATAGATGCAAGCAAAGCGACTTAATTGAGACAGAGTAAGACGTTGCTCCCCCCACAAAAATATCTGCAGAGTATTACATGACATTGCCTGAGTTATTATTGTTTTATTGGGATACGACATACGAAATGCTGTAAGGAAATGATTACATCTCTGGCCTGTTTTGATGGATACAATCTATAAAAAGCGATAAGAAATTCACCCAAATGGGTGGAAAAGGTACGATGAACTTTTAATGCTTCAGCAGAAGATTGCCTTCCATTTGAAATTATGTGAATGCATTATTCCTGCAGAGAGTGGTTTTGATGTGTTTTCTCCTTTTAGGGAAAACGAACAACAAATTGTTACTCAAGTATTCGTGCTACGTTGTATACAATTCAAATAATTTGTTGGTCGTTCTTTGAGCGATATTCGGCGAGATGCGTAAAAATTACGCACAACATACCTAGTGTGCGCAGCACTTGAATAATTAAAGTAAACTCATTATTCAAAATTGTCTCTATTGTTGTTGTTTTATTTCTTTATTCTGTTTAACATTCCAAGTTTCCATTGTTTAATTAAAATCAAAAGGTCCTGTCAGTGCCGCCCCCGCTCCGCCAAGGTATACAAATTGCTCGGCATTGACTGTAGTCCACTCATTTTCGAGGACACTATAACGTTCTACTCTTCCGTCTAATAGATAAATGTTGTCTGCTGCTATCACCGCCGTAAAACGGTCTTTATACGTATACTTTGGCGGCGCCATCTCTTCCCATTTATTCATTTGTATGTCAAAGCGGGCGTAGTCGCTGCCAATCCAAAACAACGAACGATCATTCGATAAAAGTTCAAATCTACCAGGTCGCTTTTTCATCACATTTAAAGTATGCCAGTGACCCTCCCTTGGGTCGAAACGAAAAAACGAATCATAGGTGAAACTATAAATGCTACCCTCCGCGAGTGCGGCGCGGGTGCATTGTTGGCAGTGTCTTCGTATAGCTGGACATGGTACCCACCGATTACTTGGAGGATCATATTTTTCGACATTTGTAGTGTAGGTTCCACCGACAACATAAAATGCTTCATGATAAGCACAAATCCCAAAATTACTTCGACGAACAGTCATAGGTGCAATACTATTCCACTTTTTATTAAATGGATAGTAACACTCTGCGGTAGTCAATTCTGCACCATTTGAATCGCATCCACCTACAGAATATATAACGCCATTCAAGGATATTGCAGAGTTATCATATCTAGATTGCGCCATATTTGAGAGAGTAACGAGTTGGTTTTTGGAAACATCGTAAACTTCGAAGTTTTCACATGCAGATTTCGTTGGAGGAAACTTATAACGTGCTCTCTTGGGAAAAGGGGTTTCGCCGTAATGATTAAGGGCAGTAAACTTGAAACCACCGGCGAGAAATAAAAAAACCTTTTCTTTCACAATTTTTGTTTCTGTTGAAGGTCTTTCCGTTGAACAGCTTTCTGTTGAACATCTTTCAATTAAAGCCTCAATTAAGGATTTAACGCACTGTTGATCCTCTATAAACATAGGTTCGGCTACAACTTGATTTCTTAAAAACCCAGTGCTGACACAAATTAAGCGAATATGACTCATTAACTCTCTCAAATGAACTTTTCGTTCTTCTAGATCGTGTTTTATCCAGTTTATTGAGGCTTTGTAAGCACTCTCTACAAATCGCAATGAATTTTTTCTTTGTTCGTCTTTTATCAAATTCTGGAACTGAAAATAATATTTTAAAAATTCACATTTAGAGTTGACATGAAGTTAAAGAAAGAAGATGCAATCGATTACACTAACTTAAGCTCATAACATGACTAGAGTGCTAATGGACGAGCTTAATAATAATTTCTCCAAAAATCGAAACATCTCTCTTAGGTTTATTTCTTATTTCATTTGGAAAAAAGTAGATATGCGTGTCCTAGTACCTGTTTCCTAATTTGATACATAAATAGTACGATTTACTACTTATTCCCACGTACGTATAACATGCTTTCCGTTAAGATAAGGAATAAATGATATAGTCAAACTGGAAGCCACCGATAATGAATTGATTCCCCTAATAACGACCCAAGAAGCTTAAGTTGTTAGGGAGGAGAGTGAAATAGGGCCTTTTCAGGAAAAACGAATTGCTAAGCTACTTTTGCAAGCATACTACTACTCTATTCTGTACCTTCATTTTTGTTTAGTATGTAATACACTTAATAATATCAAATTATATTATATTCTAGCTTAAAAGAAACGAAAGATGTTTACCAGAGATATTGCAAAGAGAGGCATGCCCTCGTCGATTTAGAACTTAATGCTGAGCATGAGTATGCGCACTACATAGAGCCTCTGAAGCTCTTTTTAAGTATTGCAGGCCTTCGGAGGTCGGCGTATAAACGTTAGGATAAGGGATTTATAAAAACTTATTTGGAGTAGAAATAGATAATATCGGGTAATAAATGGAATAACAGTCACTAGCTTGACTTCATAACTTGTTAGATAGTAAAAAACAACATTTGGGGTCACCATTCTAATGCCTTACATGTATGCATTCCTATCCTGTCAAAAAACAGAACACAATGGCGCCCGCTTCGTACGGGTACGGGAAATTACATAACGGAGTAAGTGCAATAATACGATGATGACATTATCACGGAAACTTTTGTGTTTATTGTAAGCGAATTGATGGAGAGCCGATCATTGCTTCGGTGGAATGTTAAGTGGGCATATAAAAATAGGCATATGGACCGAGACATTCATGTTAAGATCCTTGGAATCGAACCTAAGTAAGCGTGTTGTACTCCTCGATCATCCTTCTAAGTATATTCTTAACACCATGCAGGTTTTCGACATTTAACTGTTTCACAGTTCTGTCAATATTGAGAGGTTTCAATAATTATTTTTCTAAAACTGATTTTTAGATATCTATTTTTTATCATGTCAGCTGACATCAAATTTATACTTTTCAAATAAAATTTTGGGTGCTTCAAGTTTCATATGATATGATTTCATTCGATCTAGAAGAACGAAAAGTCCATTTGAGAGAGTTAATGAGTCATATTCGCTTACCTTGTGTCAGTAATAAGTTTTTGATAAATCACGTCATAGCTGAATCTATGCTTATCGAGGATCAACAATGCGTTAAATCCTTAATTGAGGCTTTAAGTGAAAGATGTTCAACAGAAACAAAAATTGTGAAAGAAAAGGTTTTTTTATTTCTCGCCGGTGGTTTCAAGTTTACTGCCCTTAATCATTACGGCGAAACCCCTTTTCCCAAGAGAGCACATTATAAGTTTTCTCCAACGAAATCTGCATGTGAAAACTTCGAAGTTTACGATGTTTCCAAAAACCAACTCGTTACTCTCTCAAATATGGCGCAATCTAGATATGATAACTCTGCAATATCCTTGAATGGCGTTATATATTCTGTAGGTGGATGCGATTCAAATGGTGCAGAATTGACTACCGCAGAGTTTCAATTGCTTAAATACCTCTTCGAATGGCAGCAGCAACAAATCTTCCTGATCAGTTAAGTTATGGAAGTTGTCTAAAATATATTTGTGGCTGAAATCGAGCAACTGTTTACAACAATGCATATCTGAAAAAGAATAAATACTTATACGCTGAGCATATTTGCCCCAATGGTATATTTACCAGCAAATTTTCGTATTCGAAAACAATTTTTTCGATTTACGCTGAGTTTGAGGAATTCAGCACATTGCTCTTTCACCCATAGGATCTGAAATAAATCCGCTATAGAAAGCAGGTTTTCAACGTTCTCTTTGGTGAGCGTGATAACCCCACTGTAGATGTACTCAACGAGAGTGTGTATAGTAATTATGTCTACGTCCTTTAATTTAATAACTCCTTTTCGTTTTTCTTCCATATCAACTATAAAAATTTGAAAGAATTATACGTTTAATGTTTTTTTTTTGTTGACAATTTCTTGGAAGGACTTACTGTCAAACATGGATGCGAAATAGTCCGAAGCAAGAGCGAGTGCGACCTTGTGAACATAGATGATTTCACCTTGTACGTCCAAAGAAAAATCGCAGAGCTATGGGAGAGAGTACCAACGTGTTAGTTCGATCAAGGCGTTGTTACATAGTTTCCTGCTTACCTTTTGCCCGACACGCATTTTACTTAAACCGTCTAGAAAAGTATTCCCATAACCAGAGTTGGTGCATTTCTTTTCGGCGATTGAAGCAACTTTATTTATCCTTTTAGAAGCCATGGTATTGGATAAATCTGCAAGGCGATTATTAAAATGTAAATGCGTTACAATTGAATTAGTGCGTAATCCCAATCCAAATTTGTTAAACGGTATAAATTCACATCAGAACGAAACAATTTGATTATGGCTATCGACTGGATTTATTAATTATACCCATCTCCGAAGAATTAAAAGTTGTTTTTGCTCATTACTCACACGCTATAGCAGATATAGAAATTTTAAGGCATATTATATAAGCAATGTACAAAAATTGAAAAAATCCGCTGCGCCTACTTAATCAAAATTTAATTTTGTTTCCCCAAAATCCTATAACTATATAATAAAGTAATTCTTGGCCAGTTTCAAATTCGAAATGCACTTAAGCAGGTCCGTCTGTATAGAATTCCTGGTAAACATTCTTTTGCAAAAGAATTTGAAAGTGGTTTAAACTTTTTGAAGGACACGCCTAAAACACCCACACATCTATGCGAAATTTTGAAAATTGAAAAAATCAGCCGCGCCCACCCTATACAGTATGAAAGTTTAGTTCGCTTGCCTTCTTTGTCTTTTTAGGTGATGTGTATTTCATCTCATCATTTGCAAATCTTTTCGAATGGATTTTGGATAAATCATCCATTGCGACCTTCCTGCACTTTTATTCAAATGCTGAGGTAGAAAATGTTTTGTTAAATATGTACATCGTGTGTTATTAGAAAGGACAGGAGGTATAGTATGAAATCGCCAGTACCATTATTGCTCTATAAGCATGATAAGTAGCCCTACTTATTTAGCAATGAAAACGTGAAACTCATAAGTCCAATTTTTAAGCACGGGAAGCGTTGCAATTTCTTGCTTTGAATCATTCGCGAAATGGGTTTAAAAAGTTTTCCACGCTTAGCTATTTCCGAATAAAGCGATAAATATTGAAAAAAGTAGTCTTCAAAAAAGTAAATTTATCAACTGAAATTAGATTATATGCTACTTCTATAATGAATGCCCTCTAAACGTTTGACGCCAACTATACTGTCAAACTAAGATCGCGTTTTCATTTGGCAGGCAAGAGGTCGCGATATCAAGTGCACGTACCATTTATAGAGATCCCTCATTCAACTTATGCGTATGCACGATAAATTATAAGACAAAGAGTTCCAAGTTTAATTGTGTTAGTACTAACTTTACCATTTCAGCTCCAAATCATTTTATAAAAAATGATGTAAAATGAAAAGTTACTTTAATGCCCTTAGTGTGTTTTATACAATGAAGTCAAAATCTCCACGAATAAATAAATTGTATCATTATTTTTAAGTTTTCCACAAAGTGTTCAGTACAAAAAGTTGTAAAACGTTTTAAAGGTGACTGCGATAAATGGCGATAAGTTACAGTAGTCTTATGCGAATTACGCCTTATTATGCTTGACAAATTTGGAATCAAAAATTAAGTTTTGGCGGAGTTGCGAGCAAGCTTTTCAAAACGCGTTAGATTCTCGGATAAATATTAAGCCATATGCTTATGTGTCTTTATTTCGTAGATCGCCACCCGTTCAATATGGAAAATTTTGCATAGTGTTTTTTCTACAAATTTCAGGAGACACATGAACGAACTCTAATTTTTCAGTTATTTAGACTTCATTTTTATTTACAAGTATATAAAAATTGTGTAAAAGTACTATTTTTTTATTTTTTTATACGCACCTATGAGTTTTTGTTGTCCTATTCAGATGAATTAAAATTATAATTTTAAACGAACCCAATTTTCTCTAAAAGAGTCAGATTTCTGTAATGCCCTTAGCACGTAAATGATTTTCGCCCGAACAACTACTGAAAATTTAGAATTTTCTTCTATTGTTACCAACATGTTTAAACTACACTCACTGTAGACAATGTTGCCAGATAAAAACTTCTAAGCAAACATTTGCAGCAATAACCGACCAAGCTTCGACACGATGACGTCTTATTCAGTTTTTCTACTACATAAACCCCAAATGAGAAACATAATGACAAACAATACATACATTAAAAACAGCCACAGAAAATTGATGTAAAACCAAATTAGATTTTTGATTGATTAATGAAAAAAAAAATTAAAAATAAAATTAGTCTTGGAACATAGGCGTGGAACTCTCTAACGCGATTACACAAAGCAAAACGGTCACTTAAACTTTCCTATTTCACAAATATTTATTATATGGAATATAATCCAAAATATCAAATCACATAATATATAAATTCAGTTGCTACAATAAAAACTTGAATTAAATAAATACATTTCGAATTTGCAATGAACCGTTCTTAGTTCTTCCCCTACGTTTTTTTTCGTTTTATTTGTTACAACAACACCAATTCCTACAAAATCTCGTCAAAAGTCAGCAAAGTTGAAGTCCTATACCGAGAATAAGGACAACGTACTTGTTTAAAAAGAAAAAATTTGTTTTGTTCCATTCCATTATCGCATTTACGGAGGACACAAACCCAAATAAAACTCAAATACTCGTTGCAACATTTTAAATGCTTATGTAAAAGCAATTGTTTTGAAACTGTGAGACTGTTACGTCTGCTAAAAACAGCTATTGTAAAATTATTACAATTATGAAGGAATTGCCATTTTAAGCTTGTTTTTAAAATGAAGAAGATTTTCTTTGGGGTTTGGATCTTGCTCCACATCATCGCTTAATTTTAATTGAGTTTATGAATGTTATTTTGATCTTTTTCAGTCGGATCACTCAGTGTATATACCAAGATACTCAAATAAATGTATTTATAAGATCCCTCTGCAAATTTCAGGGGAAAAAAAAAATTGCAACATTGAGCTATCGTAAGGACATATTTTTAATAATAATATCAACGTATTAAAGTTTAAAGTCTCAAACACTTGGCTGTTTAAACTATAGCTACCGTAAAAAAAACAACGGAACAACAAAGCAGTTGAACTAGAGGAGAAAGACAGTGTTTACATTAACAACGGAAACAAAGAGAGGATAAGAAAAGAAAAAATTTCAATGGAACGATGTTAATACTTCACGTTGACGAGGTATGTCAATGGTATGAGCCGTTCTATTTTTCTATAGGACCATAGGGCATACCTATATAAATAAGAAGAGTAATATAAGCTGTACATCGTTTGCGAAAGAATATCTGATATATCAGACCAGATTGAATATGAAATATAATGAATTATTTGACTATCCCTGAATTGTTCTCTTTTTCTCTTTAGTGGTGTTGTATGTTAATATAACAAGCTATGAAACTATATTTAAGACATAGCTACATACTCTATTTAGTAAAAGAACTACTAGGTAGAACTTAATTTGTGGAAAGAATGAGGAGCTAGAGCTTAATTTGTGGAACCCATTTTGATTAATATGTAAAAAGATACTCTGAGTAGACATCTTTCTGTGTCTCTTCAATTTTTGTAACATACGTCGTTAAAGAGTTTTAAAATATAGAGTGAGACAACGTCAACTTAAACATTTTAACATCGCATGGGCATCTGTTAGGAAGTAGTTTAACCAAATACGAATAATCGTGGGTTGTTGTGCAAGATAAAAAAGCTTTCTTGTTTTTGATTATAAATGCGTTAAAAATTTATTGCATTTATGTTTAGATTACATTGTCGAGCGTTCGTTGTGATTAGTTAAATTTTTGTTTACTTTGCGAGATGTCGCCGTTGATTTTGTTGTTGTATTGTGCAATTTTGTTTATTTTCTGATGGGCTCGGTTTATTTATTCACATTGTAAAGAAGATTTTGTTGTCTGTTCTTTCGGCTATACTCTATACTGTCTGTGCATTGCATTAGCTTTGCGAGCGAGGGAATGCATGCTGAATAAAAACCAATTGCTATTGGCAGGGCTAGGTATCTAACGCAGAGTATTAAAATGCAAGCAAATTACAAAGCGATGCAAGATCGTCTACAAGATATTGACCGGCGTTTTAGGTTCAATGATGAGGAGAATGATATGTTTACTCCATGAAAATGAAGAATTAAGAAGATAGGTAGAAAAATGGAAAGAGGGAGAGAGAGAGAGAGAGTAAAATCGAATGCGGAATGTGACGAGGATATTATGGAAAAACGATCCGAATTGCAATACAAGATCTTACATTCGCAAGCTGAACGTATAAAGCATTATTACAGGCACCAAGGTTAATCGTGTTATACTAAATTTTTTTATTTATTTTAGCGATGTGATCTGATTTTCAAATCATGAAAAACTGAAAATTAGATCTTTTTGTCATATGAACTTCAGTTCTTGTTATATGAGAGGGAGTTCCAAAAATCGGTCCAGCCGATCCAAATTTTGCGAAACTATTTAGAATGCTGTAATATTCCTACTTAGTCACATTGGTGAAGAAATTTTGGCAATGCAACTATAATGATTTTTCGGAATGGGGCGTAATATGCGGAGTGTAGCAGATTTCATCAAAATATCTCAAAAATAGCGCCCTGCAGCTTGAACATAAGTTTACATGGACAGATGGACAGACAGGTTTAGATTTCTGAATGAATCGGTGCAATAAAAAGGTGGGTTTAATATAAGTCCACTACGTGATACGTACATCTCTTGTACCACAAGTGATGTAGGGTATAAAAACAAATAAAGAGGTGAAAGGCCGTAGAATAATTTTACTTTAATGTTGTTCCCAAGGGGCATGGTAAGTGGCTCACTTTTTGACTGCTGTGCTTGTACCATAGCCATGGTATAAATAAAATGGACGAATCTTTAGTGTCTTTCGTTATAAATATAAACGAGGATCAGTTTTTATTAAGATGTGGTTCGAAACCAGTTATACACTATGCGCGCAAAACGTGCGAACATATGTCCCTCAAATATTGGCAATAGCTTGTACTTTACAATTGTTCTGCCTACAGTAGACTTATTCGGGGACGAAATAGATTTTAACATCGATTTTTTGACGGCGCCGAAGGGTATCAGGAATTATTCGCAGTATGCACTTCAAAGAACGCATGAGGAATGATAGAATGATAGAACACGCGCAGAGCTTAGTTCAGTTAGTCAGGAATAGATCGACTTTGTAAGTTTCATTAGGAATATTGCTCAACATGCTACATGCTGACGTACGTAACACGCAGAAGGGCTTAAAATAGATCCATCTTTTATTATACCCGAGCCGTTCAGAATCTTCTTTAGCCGTCGGTCTGTCCGATGTCTGTCCACGTATATTGTAGTCAATCTACAAAACAATTTGGTGCATTGACGTGCTATTGAAAATCTTTTGGATCGGACCACTTCTCCTATCTATGCCCACATATCGATTTGTTTTGAAAAGTTGTTGTTGCATGGAAAAAATTACAATTTTCAAAGTTTCTTGACAAAAGCCGTTGAAAAATTTGGTTCGGTTCTGGGGTCTTTCATGCAACCATTCCATTTTCAATATTTCATGATGAAAATTCATTCATAATCGTAAAAAGATCAAGACACCGAACTTATCGATTATCGGACCACGCAGCTCTATTTTTTGAATGCCACCGCATATAAGGACTCTCGAGAAACTTAAAGCATTGTCTGCGAAAAAGACGCAAATGTTAATGTTTTATGATGAATAAACAATAATTTGATGTAAAACTTAAAAGGACTCAATTTGGACCACATGGATCCATTTCATGGACGTTCACTTCAGTTAAGATTTTTGATGAATAGTAAGCACAACAGAAAATGTTTAACTTTTAAGATTTATAACGGTAGGGAACTTGGACCACATAGGTCTATGTATGATGCTTTGGGCGTCCTGGAATATGCGTGCTTTCAAGAAAAATGAATGAAGTGAATAACTGTACTAGGTGAAGTAATGTCGGATATCTAGTGGTCGCCCTTAATCGACAACAAAGTTCTTCTTACTTGTTGTTCAAATTTAGATTGTTCTAAAAAAGTTTAGCCACGATTTGGAAAGTCCGCGATTATATTTGTGAACTTGAAAAGAAGAAATTATGGGAAAACTTGGAGAGATTTCATTCTCTTTAACCTATACTCTCTTACTAAGTATCTGAATTTCTGAAACTAATTTGCACAAGAAAAAAACAAAAAAAAAAAAAAAAAAAACAAGAACAAATTGCACTAAATAAACGAGCATAGGATGTGAAAGAATACCTGGAACAAGAGATGGTCAAACCGTGCAAAATATGTATATGTGTATGTGTTCTGCATGACGAAAGCTAAAAGAGTCGTAGTAGATTTTAGTTGCAAACAATATCGCGACAAGAAAAGAACTTCTTAGCGGACAAAATCAAACTCACCTCAGAAATCACGTTTCCCGGATTTCAATTACTGCCTGCCAATGTGTTTTCGAAGCAAGCAAAATCAATGATTACGAAATAGTTTTATATTTAAATAAAAATACTATAACCTTTTCAACGCAATCCGAAATAATTCTCAATTCGTTTATTGAATTTACGTTTTAGTGAGTTTCGTGTTAAACAATTTCTACTACGAAGGTCTACAAAGGGTTCCCTTTGTCGCAGGGTAAAAATAATTCATACGCAAACACCGTCGACAGCACATTTTTCACTTTTTCGTGTCGCGAAAGAACAGTAACCAAACCATTTACTTGTAAAGATCGCAGTAACAATAAAATGAAATATATTTTAAGTGTGTCTGTGTGTCTGTTTGCGCATAGTTTAGCAGCATACCTCTTGCAAACGTTGGTTCCATTTGTTCAACTTTTGCAATGGCATTAGACGAGTGAGTGCGCCTGCTTGTGTGTTATATAAGGGCAGTCAGGCAGAGTATAGCTCAGAGTATAGCGCACAGTACAAGGAAACAAAACCGATCAGTGTATGCTCGAACAGGTCGAAGTCAACGTTAAGTCGAA